TAGAAGCATTGCTGCAGCAGCGATGTTCCGGCTAGCCCGAGCGAACTGTGGGAGATCGTTTCCCTCGTTCATGATGTCGTGTTGGACCTAGCGGGCGTGACCCCGGGTGTCGCCCACCGAGTTATGCGCATGTGGCGCAGCGTGCTGCACCGAGCTTACTGGCGTAGGCGGCGGCTGGCTCTGCCACCATTGTCGTAGTTCCTCGACGTGCCCTTGGGCAAACGCGAGGGCCCCCGCACGTGGGTCTAGAGGGGTGTGAGTTTGTGCAGACTCTGCAACAACTGGCAGCTGTCCCAGAGCGTCCACCATAGCGCATTCCCAGGATGGACGGTGGCTAGGTTCCACGTTGCCGATGCTAGAGCCGTCGCTCTCACCCTCGTCATCCGAGAGTTCATGGAAAGTGGTAGGAGCATAGCTCGCCATTCCCACGAATTCGGATGTGTGGGGGCATGGCGACAGCGTCCCTCAGAGCCCCCGAGCGCATGCATCCATGGGGGATGTGAGACCATAGGGGAACCGATCGTACGGTGTTCGTTGTGCGGTAAATACGGTCCCTCCGGATAATCGGCGGGATATAGTAAATATATAGTAAATAATAATATGCATATTAGTCACAGCGGGGTTTGAGCAGAGAGTTTGCTCGGAATGAAGCACGGATGCCGCGTCATCGAAGTCGTGCGTCCCGGAGTCGATGGAGGGCGCCCCTCTGACGGGTGCTGGAACGAGTGCCTCCTCGCGGAGGTGTAGTGTGCCGAGCCGGTCGGCGACGAAGTCTAGGCTTCTGAGGAGGAAGGCCTAGGATGGCTCTAAGATGGGTGGAACCCGCATCCCAACCGGTGGGAGAGCGGGAAGCTCGAGTGAGCCGAAGCAAATTGTATCGCCTGAGCCCGCCATGGCGAAGGTGGTGGAAAAGTGGGCCATCCGATGACCAAAAAGTGTTGAACGTACAGTGTCTTCCCCACGGATGACGCCAACTGTCGGTGCAGAAAGTGACCAACAAGTAAATATTTGTAGTTTTGCCGTACATTGTGATCGGAGGTGGCCTAGCACTCAATGACACAGGGTTTATATTGGTTTAGGCAACGTGCCTTACGTCCAGTTTGAGTCGAGTCGGTGACTTTATTTCTGAGCCTAGGTGCTCGAAGTTTGCAGTGGGGTTACAAACAAGAAGGAGAAAGATGGGGTGTACAAGAGGTCCAGTCGGCTCCGGTCGGAAGGGCCGAGAGCGACAGGAGCTCCGCTATGAGCTAAGTGTTCAAGCGTGTGCTTGAGGTCTGAACCTAGCGGTTCTATGGTTTAGAGCTAGTGAACTTGATTGATTTAATAAATCTAGAATCACTTGAATTAGCCTAGATTAACTTGAATCAACCTTTTATAGATGAAGGGGATGGCCTTACAAGTGAGAGGGAGAGAGTACGTATGCTTCTAAACCTTGTTGCCCATGCCGAAAGGTACAGGATGATGGTAGGCGCCCACAACACTATTGGATGTCAAATGCACGTGGAAGGTTACGTCATCTTTGTTCGGATATGGCAGATGTCGGTATCTGCATATACTGTTGATGCCCAGAGGCATGTGAGGAGTTTCATTATATTCACTCGGTACGGTAAATCCGGCGCCCACAACACTATCGATGCCCAGCGGCATGTGGGGGGAGCCTTACCGTATGGGAGTTAATGGCGCCCACAATACTGTAGGAGAAAATGTCGGCGCCTACAACACTGTTTGTGTCAGGGAGGTTGAAGAGTACTATTTTCTGCAGGTGTACAGGGTATGGTCCCTGGTATTGAGGTTTGACTTGTGCGCCCTGCCTTACTTTCTCCGTCCATTTCCTGGTCCTTTTCTAGCGGGTGTCCCCGGTCGGTTGGTCCCAGCCGGCTCTGATTGCGCCAGTCGGAGAAGAGCAGTGAGCAAGGTATTTGCGTACCCCGGTCGGAGACGTGGGGTCGGAGTCGAAAGTAGTGCTTTGGCCAGGCCTTCCGGTCGGAGAGGTCGTCCGGAGGTGGGTTGGAGACCGAAGCGAGCGCTCGGTCGGAGAGGTGGGTCGGAGTCGGAAGGCGGGTGCCGTTCCTCCTCGGCCAGGCCTTCCGGTCGATGATTGGATCGCCCTTCTGGCCTGTCGTTTCGATACTTCGGCTGGCCCATGAGTTGCGCGTTGTCTGCTTGGACCAAGCCTTTGTTGGAAAACCGGTCCGCGAGTGACCCCGGGTTTATGAACCCGACAGTATTCTTGTGCTTTTGCGTGGATTTCTTTTCCTTTTTTTGCGAATTAATGAGACAAACTTAACACCGTCATAAAACAGGGGTAAACAGACGCTTCAATCCAAAATAACGAGAGTAAAATCATAAAATTTTAAAAAAAACAGGGGTAAAATCACCATTAGCCTCTAGAGTAAGGTAGAAACATCAAATTCGCAAATATTTTATATTAGCATCTCGTTCTCATAAAATTTTAACTTTTTCCCTTTTCTCTTAAAAGCTCTACTCTATCATTCAACACACGTTTAAAATGTACTCCCTCCATCTCAAATTGTAAGACGTTTGACTTTTTTGACCTCAAGTTTGACCGCTCGTCTTATTCAAAAATTTTGTGCAAACATAGTGAAATTTAAGTCATTCTTGAAGAACTTTTATTAATAAACAAAGCCACGACGAAAGAAGTGATATTTTGCATAAATTTTTGAATAAACGAGTAGTTAAACTTGTTGTTAAAAAAGTCAAACGTCTTACAATTTAGGATAGATTGAATAGTTCATTTGGATTCAATGGGATCGATTTTACATTTTTACCCATCTCATCTGGTTTGTCTAAACGCATTTAATTTGGTTTCCTTTTTATATGCACCGCCCAACTCTTGGAGAGCGCCTCACTGTCACTTGGCTGCTCTGCCTCCGTGTGGCACCGAGGGTCACCGCGGTGGGCCAGCGGGTGGGATGTTAACCCGGCACCGTTCTTATCTGTCTCATGGACGCTGCACGCGTGGTTTACTTCCCAGAGCTTATCACCAACCACCTCGACCCTGCTATCGCTTACCACTAGCAGCCAACCACCTCGGCCCTGCTATCGCTTACCACTAGCAGCCAACGGCCCGGTTCGTTTCGTTTAGAGGCGTATTTTTTCAGCCAACGAATAATATTTTTTTCTCACAATAAATCAACCAACAATATTTTTAGCTATAGCTTATCAGCCAAATGAACAGGGCAATTGCAGATCGAAAAGCACTTGCAAAATCTTGTCCAATCGTGACAGAAAATCCGCTGCCGCTGCATCATTAGATATCAAACCGGGAATGCGAAAAGGGGGGAGACAGGGTCGCCTGGCTCCCGGCCAAGAGCAAATATTCGTGGGATCGGATGCAAATTCTAGGGCGGTGCTCACGTTCACAGACGCGTCGAAATCAGATGAAACCGTCGCGCATCCGCGGCCGGGCCTACAGATTTGTGAGCGTCTGAACGGGGACGACGACAGCTGCTTGTCTGTTGTACATTTGAAGAGCGAGCGCGACTGGTTGGGACGGACAATTGATCAAGTCTGGAGCATTCGCGGGGAAATGACTATGATGTCCGTGTTCCATCCATCCACCGAGGTCTCATTGTAACCAGCCGTTTGAGCCCGTCCTAGAGCCGGCGCATTGTATAAAACCTCTATTCTCTTCTTAATACAATGATACGCAACGTTCTTCCGTATTTGAGAAAAAAATGTTGGTTAAGTGAGGTATCCATGTCTATAATCTCGCACGTATAACATGACACGTGATCTTGAAAGGCTTTTGACAGACGATAAATATCAATCTGACGGTTGCAGTCCGCCTTAAATACACAAGGCAAGGATTCTGATCTTTTCGATCCGCGAGCTGTTCGACTGATGGTTGTTTTGAGAGAAAAACACTATACCATAGCTGATAAGTTGGATTGATAAGTTCAGACGAATAGGGCGCTGGATTTGCCATGCTGCGTATGTTTGTGGTTTTTGGGGTGGAGCTCATGGTGACATGTCGAGGAGGACGGGTGGTATAACCAATGGATTCAGATTTATATAGCTAATGGCTCGGTTCGTTTTGCTGAAAAAACAAATCGAAATACTGTTCTGACTGATTTATTGTGAAAGAAAAACATTGTTCCGAATGAAAAAATAAACTGAAATGTACTAATTATAAAACAAGCGAACATGACCAATGACAACAGAAGAGATTTAACAACGCCAATCAGCCTGTTCGCTTGTTGGTTTCAGCCAGCCCAAACCAGCCAGCCAACAGTGTTTTCCTGTCACAATAAACCAGCACCAGCCAGCCTAAACTAGTCTAGAAATCAACCAACGAACAAGTCCAATGACAAATGCAGATGACTTGTCGCCTTGTCGGGGATACGCTCCAATCAAACCATTTTGCGGAGTGGCCACTGGTCAATACTCTTACTAATCTTTTTTTTTAAGAAACTAACCTTAATATAAAATAAAACGATGCATAGCATCTAGAAGCAAAGTAAAATATATAGGCCTGTTCGCAGGTTAATTTTTAGATTGATAAGCTTGACTAATACTAGTTTATTATGAGAGAAAAATACTATGTCATATCTAATAAGCTCTAGCCAAAACCAACGAGGAAATCGATCGGCCGCCAAAGAGGGCTCTGGTAGCAGACAATTATTGTAATCAGACAATTATTGTAATCGTGGGCAGCAAAGCAACCGGACCACCGCCGTCCTTGCTCACTTGGCTGCCTGCTCGGCATTTGAGGCTTGTTCGGCCGGCATTAAACTCGCTCGATAAGTCGACTTAGAAAAGAAGAATACTATAGATTATAGCCTATAAGATCAAGCCAACAGGCGACGTCGGCAGCTGCCGTGCCGGGGTTATAAAAGTCAACAGCCTCCGCCCACCACCCTGTCTGCTAAGCTAAGCTAACGGTAACCCCACCCCGCTCCCAACCTCCACCGCCCGATCCCCACCTCCCGGCGCCACCTCCTCCTCCTCCCTCCTCAACCCCGGCGGCGCGGCGTTCTATGGCCTACACCTCCTCCCTCCACCTCCCCAAGCACCTCCTCTTCCCCAGCTCCCGCCGGACAAGGCACAGGCCCTCCTCCTTCATCCCCGTCTCCGCGGCTGCCAAGATCAACGGCGGCGTGAACGGCCATCACGCGCCCGAGAAGCCGGCGGCGCCCAACGGCAAGGCACCACAACACATCAACGGCCGCGGGAAGAAGAAGGGCGTCAATGGGCACGTCAACGGGCAGGGCGGCAAGAAGGGCGTCAACGGGCACGTCAACGGGCATACAGATCGGATCCACCTCTCGGTGAGCACGGGCGGCGGGGGCGGGGGCCGCCAGGACGGCTCGGGCCTCCGCGTGGCGTTCCAGGGCGCGCCGGGCGCGTACAGCGAGTTCGCGGCCAAGACGGCGCTGCCCGGGTGCGAGACGGTCCCGTGCCGCGCGTTCGCAGACGCGCTGGCGGCCGTGGAGCGCGGCGCCGCCGACCGCGCCGTCCTCCCCGTGGAGTCCACCATGGAGGGCACCGCGCTGCGCAACTACGACCTGCTCCTCCGCCACGGCCTGGTGGTGGTACAGGAGATCAACCTCTTCGTGCACTACTGCCTGCTCGCCATGCCCGGGGTGCGCGCCGCCGAGGTGCGCCGCGTCATCAGCCACCCGATGGCTCTGGCGCACTGCGGCCGCGCGCTGGCCCGGCTCGGGGTGGACCCGGAGCCCGTGGAGGACACGGCGGGCGCCGTCGAGATGCTGCGCTCCAACCGGATGCTCGACACCGCCGCCATCGCCAGCACGCGCGCCGCCGACCTGTACGGCCTCGACGTCCTCGCGCACGGGCTCCAGGACGAGTCCTGGAACGTCACGCGCTTCCTGCTCCTCTCCAGGCCGTCGCCCGTCGCCGGCCTGCCCGTGGACGCCGCCGCCGCGGGCGCCAAGACCAGCATGGTGGTCGCGTACCGCGGCGGCTCCATGATGATGGTGCTCAAGGTGCTCTCCGCCTTCTCCTCGCGCAACATCAACCTCACCAAGCTGGAGGTCATCAACAACGACGGCGCCGCGGCTGCCGACACTGGATCTGGCGCCCGCCCGCCCGTGATGATCCTGGACACGAGCGCCCGGGGCGCGCCGACGCTGCGCGCGTTCCCGCACGTCCTGTACGTGGACTGCGAGGGGGCCGCGCACGACCCGCGCGTCCGCGAGGCCATCCAGGAGATCGAGACGTTCGCCGTCTTCGTGCGCGTGCTTGGCTGCTACGCCGCCGACACCACCGTCTACGACCTGCAGTGACGAAGCTGTCTTCGTAATGGGGGAACCAGAGCAGTCGGATTTAGCTGGCCAGTCTGCCGTGATTTCGCTGTTAATTGGACGAAGCTGTCAGATCTCTAGCTAGTATTCAGAAACCAGCGTCGTTTAGATAGATTAGTGCTTGCTTATGCGTAATTTTTGTACAGATGCAATAAGAATCTTCCTTCCTATTGCTCCTGGATTAGGTCGAAGCTTGGTGATGATGCCAGCTGAAGGATGTTTCTACGTACTAGGATGTATTGTTGTTGGTCATGACTGGATTCTCTCTTGTAAATTTCTCGTGCTATAGGTATTGTTATGTTACAAACTTTCATTCTGCTATTGCAGCGCTAGGATGTTCAGAATCGAAATCACGTATGTAATGTTTTCACTTTTCAGCACTGAACTTTCTTCGTTGATATGCAGATCTACAGATGTGTTTACAAAAAGGAAAAAACAAACAAACACGTGGAGTGTTTTATTTATGGTTCCGACCACCAGAACTCACGTCACCCCGTAATTGTTCGGCAACAATATGTTAAGGCCTCCACGGGCTCAACGAGTCTCTGCTTAGCGACTAGTAAACCGTTTTCTAATCTTTTAGCAGCTGATCTGGACTAATTTTCAGCCGCCAGTAACTCTTGCCTCCTGGCTCGGTTGGGGAATCTGACGAATTTCTGAGGGCACGTTTAGATCCGAAAATTTTTGGGTTTCGGATACTGTAGCACTTTCGTTTGTATTTGGTAATTAGTGTCTAATTATGGACTAATTATGTTCGAAAGTTTTGTCTCACGATTTCTTACCCAATTATGCAATTAGTTTTTTTTTCGTCTGCATTTAGTACTCTATGTATGTACCGTAAGATTTGATGTGACACTTACTGCGCAAATTTTTTTTTGGTTTAGTAGTCCAAGTGGAGGTGGGTGGGGGCTCTGTGCAGGAATCCCGGATCCCCCGGCCGGAATCTTGTGCTAGCGTCCAGGCAGCACTACTACCATCCACGGCACATGCTATGTTACTGACAAGGGAAAGAAAAATCTGACCAAACGTACCTCTCGGTGATAAGTGCGTGTCCTGATCCTCTGCACCATATATGTGATCATCATCGGATCCCATCCCTGATCCCACTACAGCCACAAGAAAAGGACGGTAGCTCTCCTCCGAATGTGCGAAATTTTCACATGTCTAGTGCAGCGTAGTACTGTACTGTAGGAGTTAGGCGCGGAGCACAGGGGGCATGTGCCGTGTGCGTGGCCACGTCCAGTCCAGGGAACGGACGCGCGTCGTGTCACAGGTCGCGAGCTCTTCCAGGAATTGAGCTTTCGAACGTGATGCCAAAGCTACACGAACACGACAGGCTTGGTGCTTTCCGCCCCGTAACCGTAACTGTCCGTAGCTTACCGTTTCCCTTCGGCGACACCGGGAGGCGAGAGCTTATCAGGGGAAGAGAGGATGAGGAGCGGACGCCCAAGCCCAAACATCTGCTGCAGCTGCAGTCCATGGAGTGGAATATGTACCCGATTGCTGAGTGCCTCAGCCCTCAGGGCAGGCCCTCAGCTGAACCACTCGCTTTTGCCGGACGGTGCGCGATGCGTCGGCCCACATGCCACATGGCCTGGTCTGGAGCCAACCGATCGCCAACTGCCGTTTGGCTCTTGCGGGGCTTTTTTACCTGCACCGTGACCGTGACTTGCCTGTTGTTGGATTCCTGAATAATCATGCAGGGAGGTGGGGAGTGTGGCGCCACGGGCCCCACGGCTGAATGATTCGAATACCTGCTCTCCTGTGAAGCTGGAGGAGTGGGAATCCGCCGGCAATCCGGCCTCGGAGTCCTGCATCATGGGCGGCAACCACCAGCGAGCAAAGGTCGGTCAAGGTTCATTACTGCGCAAATTCAAAAAAAAAGGTTCATTACCCGCTTCTTCCCTGTGTACCAATCGTGGTCGTCGATTTGATACTCGGGTGCTTTGAATTGAAGCCTATGAGCACCCAAGTGCTTTGGAGCATTGCACCACCTGATTAGGCTGGAGAGAAGAATCGAGTGTTTGAAGAGGACATCTTACTATAGTAATCCTGCTACCAGAAGAGGGCCCGGTAGCGTGGCCACGTCGTCCGCTTTTTCCGGCCATCGGATCGGCCGCATGGACGGCTCAGATCATGTGAGCCCCGGTGTTTTTTAAAAATACTTCAAACTTTAGTTGAATCGATCCGTAGTCCAGACCTCCTCTCAGTTTTTTTTAAAAAGCCCTCGAACTCTATCAAAATTAGGTTGTATATCGCCGGACCCTCTCTATCCCGACGCGACCACGCGACGACAGGCGGCAAAGTGAGGCTTGGCGGCGTCGGCCGCCTCCTCCTCCTCCTGCGCCTCCTCCTCGTCCACCGCTGCTCTCCCTTCCCTGCCTCTCACCTCCATCTCGCCCTCCTCCTCCTCTCTCTCTCTCGGTCGCGATTGTTCGCGAACCCGCTCAATATCTGACCCGTCCCCTTCGTGGCGCGTCTCTCCCTCCTCCCGCTGCTCCATCATCTCTGCAACTCCTCCCTTCTCCCTGCAGAGCACATTGAGACACGGGCTGAGCAGCAACGTTGGCAAACAATTGGTGCGGGCGAATCGAGTGGGGCACGGGCGAAAAGAGTGGAGCTTGGAGCAGCGGCACCGGCGCCGGCGGAAGGGCGGCGCGAGACACGGCGACCTCGCCCGCCGGGCTCCACCATCCGTGTGCTCTGCCTTGTACGTATCTACGTCCCAGAGGAAGAGAAACAAAGCAAGCAGGCTACAAGAACAAGGTACGTGATCACTTGACCTTGATATGATCTGATCCTTACTTCCTGCTCAGTGCCCTCTGTGCTGCTGCACGGAAGAGGACCAACGGAAGGGGAACGAACTAGAGGAAGATGGGCGGCGCACTGCTGCTGCCCCTCAGGTCCGTACCCTATTCCACTCCCATCGAACTTGTCAGAAAATTCAGCTTGTCAAGCTCCTTGCTGACAAAATATAGCCTGCAGCCTCATTGAAATTTTCATGGAATCTCTAATCTGAAAATCTCTGTGCACGTTTCCTAGCCACGACTACCATTTCTTGCCTCTTTGAATCTGGACCGAGCCAACGAGCGCTACAACAGCTTGAAGCCTTGAACAGCCGACAAGATGTACAGTGTCCAGCAGCTGCTCGACGTAATGCCTCAAAGTCAAGCTGTTGACTGAAGCAACGCTGTCGCTGCTGCAAGTCGTCTCTGTAAGTTGTATGCCATTTGTTGAAATTCTCCCGAAGCTTTTTTTCTTGCCTAAAATTTTATATGCAGAGGCATGCAGCCCGTGTGGAATATATATCGTTGTTCACTAAAATCCTTCTAAGGTGTGCCAAATCTATTAATGCTCTTAGACTCTTGCATGTTTCATAAACAGCGATTTGTGTTCACTCTTACTCACTTTGGAATAGCAATGGTATTTGTTTGCTTGTGTCATATTGAGGTCAGTCTAAACGTCAATGGTCCTTTTCTCTTTATTTACATGTCAGATTAAGTTGTTTAACCCAACGTGAGTAGTTATATAAGAAAAGGCAACAATACCTGGGAAAGTAAGCAACAGGTCATACCAAAGGCAGTGTCCACCGCTTATGACCCTAAGCTCTGAAAAGAGAAGGTATATGATCCAAAACATGGATTTTTCACATCACGATATATATTCAAACTATTTTCATTCAAACCTCAAATTTTCTACTTGGTACACCAGATCTGCAATCTAGCTAAATTAATCCATGCCACTTTATGCAGTCCATTCAATAGTAGCAAGTACATAACATGCCCGCAAGCTTAATAGACAGCTGGTTGCTTTAAGCAAAAGAATTCATAATCTATTTTAACTAAGACAATAACTCAGGTGGCCTACATAATTACTTGACAATATACTACTTAATTACACAAATGTTTGGGGTTCAGTTTGAGCCACTAATCGTCCTCGAGGGGGTTGCTATGTAACTTGGACTGCAATTGGTAAACCAAAGGTAGCATTAGCAGTAAAATTATGATTAGCTTGCATGATGATCAAATGCTGGAAACATGTGTCTTTCTCAGTCTTATTATCACTCATCAGGCACCAGCGATTCGTAAATCTATGATTTTCATATCACAATTTCCATTTCATATCATCACTCATCAGTGCACAATTATCCTTTCATCTGTGTACATTTTAATAGTGTCATTTTGTTCTTCCCCCTTGCCAGGCTGCTGCATACTATTTCCACAGAATGATTCTTGATGAGGGAGAGACTTTCCACATAGCTCCACCAGCATCATGGCGATTTTACACCTCAGAATCTTTTCATCCCTTTTCTATGTTTGACGATCTTATTTACCCGCCTCCAAGTTTGATACCGTGCCCTCTATATCAGTAAAATATTTAACACATATATTAAACTCAATCACCTCTTTAGTTTGCAGAAGCCCAGCTCCTTTTGTAACTACCAAATATCTCTTGGGGCATGATCCCAAAAGATACAAAAAGCTCCTTTTGTAACTACCAAATATCTCTTGGGGGCATGATCCCAAAACATACAAAAAGCAAGTTCCAGAGCTACCCGGACCTATACTAAAAAAGGGTAAGAATTGGACTAAAAGATTGAGGTGAAGAAATAGCTCATACTGGCACACCATATCTGCTATTTTCTTTCTTACGTAATTTCAGAGTGTTGAACATAGGTTTCAACAAGATCGTTGTGACACTGCCTTCATTGACATGTTTTCCATTTTCTCTAAGCTCCAAGATTACGAGCTTCATCCGTTGCACAAGGGAACTAACCATGGATAAAAGTTCATCGCCAACCTCTTATGGAATGTGCTGCTCAAGTGCCTTACAAGATCAATATATTAGCTGAACTGATCTGTTTAGATTTATGTACATATCCAATAGTGTTGCCCCTTATATATCAGATGAACGATAACATCCATTATGCGTATTTTTGAGGCAATAGGCAAAAAAAAAATCTTGGTTTACAATTGCGAGTT